TTTGAAAAAGAAATACCACTTGCGCCAAGTCTAGAATCTTTAAAGAGAACTGATGGGTGGTGACTTTTTGGGTTGTTTGTATGTTGTCTTAGGTGAGACTGAGACAGGCAGTCGATGACTACTGTGCTCTTCTCCCATTAAAATTGTAGAAACTATATCAAGCACAAATAAATCTACAATTTGGTAGGTAACTGGTATTTTGAATGATGTTGTAATGACAATAAATGTCTTAATTAATTCATAAATGAAGTCACCTAACAATACAGTAGCTGATCAGAGTGGGGTCGGAACTGTTCACAGCCCCTCTTTGAAGCACACAAGGCAGCCATATTAGCTTACAACATTAGCGGTAGCATCTCATGAAAAATTACGACTTTACTAAGACTGCCTGGAAAAGTGGTATTTCTTTTTGAAATAAAAAGAAATACCACAAATAAAAAGAAATGGGGGGGGGGTGCTCGGAGGTAGCGAGAAGTAATATGCCGGCACTACACGGTGTAAGATTAACAACGGCCCAAACCAGTGTTTTAAATCAGGCTTTAAGATAATGTATCAAACTTCATGCGCAAAATAAAATATACTACAGAAATATGAAAGCATTAAACTCACCGTTGGGTTTGAGTTCGCCTCCATGGTCGCCAGCCTGGGTGATACTGGTACTTCTTCAATATGACGGTTGTGTCACGTGATTAGGTGGATGTTGGAATCGGACATCCATTGCTAATGTCTGTGACCTGAAGTAACCTTGGCCATTTTTACAGCGAATTTTTAGACGCTGAATTTGAGACAGTGAATTTGAGCAAGTTGAATTGGAGGACAACGAAAATATTGCATTTGAATTTTGAAAAGTTGAATTTTTTATATGCTGAATTTTTTAACACTGAAAATTCAAACTGTGAAAAATATGTATATTGAAAATTTCATCACTTTGAAATAGGAATGTGAATTTTTTTAATAACTGAAAATTGCAACCATGTAAAAAAAATTACACTGAATTTTTTTTTAATGTACAAATAATGACATTGAATTTTTTTTAGGTTAAAAATATATTCAGAATTTATTTTAATACTGAAAAAGTAAGCACTATTATACAACGTTCAAATTTCAGAGGTATTTTTAATTCAAATTCTGATGGCACATATTTACTTCCATAAACTGGTAGGTTAGAAGGGGATAGCATTACTGGCCTGTTACTTATCAGTGCATGTCTAGTTTAAAGGCTCCTTAACAGAGAAAGTAGGTTTGAATCCTGAAGAAAGTTAATCCCTAGCAATGCACCAAGTGGTATGTCCCCTACTTTAGTTCGATTTTTAAGTAAGCGGAGAACAAACTGGCACCCTGTTGATGTGTTTATCGACCAAATATTGCCTCTTTACTTTTGGATTCATTAATTAAGCAACGCAAAAAGATTATCTCATTTTTCAGTTCTAGACCTGCTGATCAGAGACAGTTCTTAGACTTATCCTCTTTCTGGATTTAAAATGTTCACCATGTTTGGAAGGCTGACCTTTAAACTCATGCTGATGATCCTACATTTGCCTCAGTGTGACGTCAGTAAGGCATAATATTTATTTTTCCTCTGCATGTGTTCTTGAATGAAAGGGGAAGGCGATAGACTTTGTGGGAGTTGACGAAAGCACAGCCAGATGGGTTCAGGATTTTAACATAAAATCCTACGCCACACCAGCCAAACTGGAATCTATAGATGGTGAGAAGAGTTCCTTTAACAACCAATCAGCTACTTTCGTCTGCTTAGTTATGTACTGATGATCTTTTCCAAGGTGCCAGATACCAGGCACTGCTCATCCCAGACTGCCCTGGAGCGCCAAACGACCTGGCACACAGCGGCTCCATGCACCGAATCCTCACACAGTTCATCTCCCAGCAAAGTGAGTTCCACACTTTACTTTTTTTAAACGTTTTTGCCCTTGCCTCATTTTTGTTTTCTATCACTTGTACAGAGCCTGTGTGTGCTATTGGACAGGGAGTGTCAGCTCTGTGCTGTGCCACCGAGGGCCAGAAGTGGATTTTCAGTGGTTACAGCTTAACAGGGGTTAGTGTTCTCTCTCTCTCTCAGGGAATATTTACTCCCACTGGTGAGACGTGTACAACTTACCTAATAATCAATGCCTCTCTCCAAGCCGTCTGTGTTTGAACTGGTTCGTCAGCCCGACTTTGCCAACCTTCCCCTTATTGTGGAAGATTTTGTGAAAGACAGCGGTGGATCATATACAGGTGAGCGCCTGCGCTGCAGAAACCCAAAACCAGCACTCCATCATTTGTTTCTCAAACCGTATAACGTTTATCTCCTCTTCCCAGCAAGTCAAGAAGACTCCGTGCACGTGGTTGTGGACAGACACATAATAACCGGACAGAATCTGCAGTCGACGTCACTGGCTGTGAATAATCTCATCCTCCTTTGTAATGCCAAATAAAGGTCACCCTGTGCCTGGGTCTGTGTCGGTAAACAAGTAGTTATCTAGAACAAATCACTGGAAAGCCTCGGGCCAGCTGCAAATATAGAGAGCATTTCATGTCAAATTAGTGGGTAAAAATCCACCTAGACTTTAGCGGATCTACAGTTCAACCAGAAAGTATTCACATCTTGTAATCATGTTCAATTTTGTTTGCTTAAACGGATAATTTTATTAAACACATTTAATAACTCTTAACTATCCAAACCCATGCCTTATGTTAAGGCACCTTTGGTTGGAATATTATTGGATTTTTTTGTACTCCATAAGCATGACGCCCTCTACAGGAGGGACCGGGCGTGTTTAGTTCTCACTAGAAATATTTATTTGACTTTCCGTCCAGGGGCCCTACCCACTTCTGTTATTTTGGATGTTTATTTTGTGTCACACAAGATCAGCCCTATAGCATGATGCTGCTAAGACCATTCTTCAAAGAAGGGATAAGTGAGAGTTATGTCCTAAGCAGCGTTATATCAAAGATATTTCAGTTTCTCTACATGGATATTCTTTCTTTGCTCTTATCCAAATCATTTATCATTGTGATACATTTCTTGCCATAAGAATTTTGATTTATCGTTACCAAGATTAACAAAGCGAAAGAAAAAACTGAAACATTGCTGAATTATTACAAGGTTTTATCTTTTCCTCCCATCTATCCATCCTTCTTCCGCTTATCCGGGGTCGGGTCGCGGGGGTAGCAGCTTCAGTAGGGAGGCCCAGACGTCCCTCTCCCCTGCCACTTTGGCCAGCTCCTCCAGGGGAATCCCAAGGCGATCCCAGGCCAGCCAAGAAACATAGCCCCTCCAGCGTGTCCTGGGTCTCCCCCTGGGCCTCCTCCCAGTGGGACGTGCCTGGAACAAGTCACCAGGGTGACATCCAGGAGGCATCCTGACGAGATGCCCAAGTCACCTCAACTGGCTCCTCTCGACGTGGAGGAGCAGCGACTCTACTCTGAGTCCTCCCCGGATGACTGAGCTTCTCACCCTATCTCTAAGGGAGAGCCCAGACACACTACGGAGAAAACTCATTTCAGCCGCTTGTATGCAGGATCTCATTCTTTCCATCATGACCCAAAGCTCATGACCATAGGTGAGGGTAGGAACGTAGATCAACCGGTAAATCAAGAGCTTTGCTTTTTGGCTCAGCTCTCTCTTCACCACTACAGAGCCCGCTGCATCAATCCGCTTATCGATCTCCCGCTCCATCTTCCCCTCATTCGTGAACAAGACCCCAAGATACTTAAACTCCTCCACTAGGAGCAGCACATCCTCCCCAATCTGGAGAAGGTACTCCACCCTTTTCCGGCTAAAGACCATGTTTTCCTCTCATTTCCCCCTTAATTGAACGTAAATTAAATGTATTTATTGTGTCCAGTTTAGGAATTAGATTAAAATAAAACAAAAGATAACTTCTTTATGTAACGGGTCCTAAAAAACATTTCCAATTGCAGTTTTTCTAAGAGTAGTATTTGATTGCTGGGCTATAATTCAGTCTTAATAATACAGTCACCTAAAAAAGGATTTCACAGAAGTAAATTGTTTTATCGTATTTGCAATAGTGATACAAAATCAACATTATAGAAATTCCATATGGCTCATCACTGCTGGACGCTCCACCATAAAGGCCTGTTTTGTGAACGGTATCAGTCACTGCTGGATGGCTGCAAGACAAGATTTAAATCACCTCTCTTACCAAGGCCCTTCCCCCATTTATTTTGCTCTGCCGTTTCTTGTGGTTCCACATGTATAAAAAAAAAAAAACAGCTTCTCAGGATGTTTGACGTTTCCAACAGATCTTTTATGCATCTCTACAGATTTTTTGGAACAAATAGGTCAGAGATCCACAGATAAAGCTTCGACTTCTTCTCTTAGTTTTTGCTCTGATATCCTTCAAAAACCGAGACCCAGAATAATATTGAAATGATCAGTAAAATTCAAAACCACCGGAGCACAATTTAAATGCACATTTGTACATTAAAAATAAAGATGTTTATTACATACCGTACATTAATTTAATTTAATTTTGTTTAGTCTTTTTAAAGAAAACAGTATTCATGGCTAAAATTGAGTAATGGGTGTGAAGACTTTTCCAGAATACTGTAGTTGCTAAAAGTCCTGATCATCATGAACCATGCTCTCTGAAATGTACAAATCACAGATTTATAAATGAACACAACGGAAACCAATCTGACGAATCAATATTTGCTTTAAGATTTTTTTTTTTAAAACAAAAATCTATTTTTTTGACAAACGTTCACATTTTCATGACCCTCAAATCAAAAGGGGGAAAAATTCACACAGCAAAAATGGCAGTTCACAATTTTCTTTATCAAAAAGTCTGATGCTTAAAGCAGATCATAGAAATAATCCAGTCCTTGTCCCATTTCCCATAAAGAAATTCCTGTTCCCAGTTCGGTAGCCAAAGAGATCCTCATGTGGAGGGACTGCAAAAAAAAAAACAAAAAACAAAATCAGAAAATTATTTATAATCTCCAATGCTTTAAAAGTATAATTGACATGGAAATAAGAAAAAAATACCAAGTTTTACCTTCAGTGAAGGGTAGTATACCACGTGCTTTACAGAACTGCTTCTGGGAAAAAGGGCAGAAGCTGTATTTAGTAACCCTTCCACAGTTAAATCATATTTTTAAAAGTTTTTGCTGATTCATGAAGTCGGTACCTTTTGTAACTGAAGTGATGTTCTGCAGAGATTTCATCCCAAACCATCTTTGGTCTGTTTTCTCGCAAAATCTCAATGTACCTACAGAGATCAGTAAGGACATGATATTAGGGCTCATTAGCTCCCTCTATTCAATTCAGTTTATTTATATAGCACCAATTCACAACACATGTCATCTCAAGGCACTTTACAATTCAAGCAGATCATACAGTCAAATTGATTTTAAATTTTCCATCTAAGGAAAACCATTTGATTGCATCAACTTAAAGGCAAGCCCTCACGCTGCATTGGATTTGACTAAGATGTAGAACTTTGGTGTGGAGATGATCTTACTTTTATTTTAAAAATTCATATGGGGGCAGATTATAAACAGGGAAATTGGCAAACAATCGCCTCACAGTTTGATTGGAGAACTTCAAAATGACTGAATAAAGGATAGGTACGGTGGCCCTGAAGTGCAAACTGCAACTACAAATCTAAAAGCGCAACTACATTAAGAAAAACACAATTACATTAACCTACCGGAAAAGGTAGGTATCAGTGGGAAACATGAGACATCGCTGATTGGACGACGGCGCCGTTTGACCCTTGAACCGGAAGTTGCGTCGTCTGAACAGTCCAGCTTCTTTTAAGTGTGTCTTCAGTGTACGCAAACTAACTGAAATTTCGTGATTAGTCTTGAGCATATCCAGTATCACCTCGTACGTATGTCCTGATTCAAAATATTCCTGGATAACGACAGCTATGTTTGGGGCGCCGACAAGATCTATGTTTTCAAAAGCTGCAGCAGGCAGAATGACTTCCGGTTCAAGGGTCAAAAGGCGCCGTCGTCCAATCAGCGATGTCTCATGTTTCCCACTGGTACCTACCTTTTCCGGTAGGTTAATGTAATTGTGTTTTCCTTAATGTAGTTGGGCTTTGCTTTATGTAGTTGCGATTTCCTTAATGTAGTTGCGCTTTTAGATTTGTAGTTGCAGTTTGCACTTCAGGGCCACCGTAGATAGGAGATAGAAAACTGAATCAATCTGACTATATGATCTGGTTGAATTGTACAGCGCCTTGAGATGACGTGTTGTGAATTGGCGCAATAGAAATTGAATTGAATATTGTCAAGTTTATAAGTCTGAAAGACCTCTGCCAACATTCAGTGGGTTACATTATAAAAAAAAGGATCAAATATTTTGCTCACACAAAAGCCTGGCATTCTAACAGGGCTGTAGATACTAAATGTGCTTCATATTCACAAAGAAAAATAGCACAGCACTATGTGTGTGTTAGGGGCTCAGCCGAATGTTTTTAATACATTAACTGGGTTTAATTCATGGTCTGCTGTGTAGATCAAAGGGCTGGTTATCCTCCTACAGCAGTGTGTCGCAGTCAGCTTGTCGCAAGTATGACGCAGACATTTTTGATTTATGCTCAATAATGAAGCATGGCCTGTGCTATGTTTATTCCACGCCACAAATGCAAAAGGGGAAAAATCAAAAATGTGGGTCTAGATACGGCTGAGGTGGTGAGGAAGTGGGGCGAGTTTGTCTGACAACGGAGGGACATGAGGGCGACAAAGAGCGGGGATCCAGGTGGAAAAAGGGTCCTAGCGTTCTCGCTCTTCTAGCTAGTCCAACTTCACGAGTCGGTCATACAAACAAAAGAAGCCAGTAAGGTACCAAACAGGAGACGCATAGCGTAGAGCGGATGTAGATTTGACCAATCAGAAGCCTTCTGTCTGCAGTCGCCTACAATATGGGAGAGGTGCAGCAGAGTCTCTGCAGAGGGGGTGGGGACGCCTTTGCGTTCACCGCGACACACGCAGACAACCTGGTTTTGAAGTATAAATCATCCTTAAGCAACGATGAGCTTTACTTTCCAGCCCTCCCAAAGCCGCTCCTCCTAAAAGCTGCTGCTGATTCCTCTGGTGCCTTTGGTAATTTTTCCCTCCATTCAACTTTCTATTAAAGGTATACTATGCAACCGGTGTTGATTTTCCAGCGAGGCTCCCCCCAGAGGGCGAAAATAAAAGTGCAGTCGTAAATATACTCAGCTGTTCTCCTGGTTTCTCCGTCAAGCCAGGCGCAGTTGTTTTGAGCTTAGCAGACAGGCGAACGCAACGAATCACCATGTCTACTGCGGTAAGTGACTATTTTGTTCCAATTTTCGAGTTTGAAAATTTAGCATGTTTTCATACATTATTTGTTATGCATGTGTCTAAATAACAAAGATTGTAGTTAGCCAAGTTGGAGTTTCCCGTACATTTATCCGACTGTCGTTGGGGGAAGGGGGTTCTGATTTCAGTGGTTTTGTACCTCGAGTAGAGATGTCCCGATCCAGGTTTTTGCACTTCCGATCC